TAGAGATGGGGTTTCACCATGTTGGCCAGGATGGCCTCAATCTCTTGACCTCATGATCCACCCACCTCGGCCTCCCAAAGTGCTGGGATTACAGGTGTGAGCCACTGCACCCGGCCAAAACCCTATCTTAAGAAATAAATTTTAAAAAGCATTAAATGTTTAAGAAGATGGGCCGGGTATGGTAGCTCATGCCTGTAATCCCAGCACTTTGGGAGGACAAGGCTGGTGGATCACCTGAGGCCACGAGTTCAAGACCAACCTGGCCAACATGGTGAAACCCCATTTCCATTAAAAATACAAAAAATTAGCCAGGCATCATAGCAGATGCCTGTAATCTCAGCTACTCAGGAGGCTGAGGCAGGAGAATTGCTTGAACCCAGGAGGCAGAGGTTGCAGTGAGCTGAGATGGTGCCGCTGCATTCCAGGCTGGGCAACAATAGTGAAACTTGGTGATAAAATAATAATGATGATGATGATGATAAATAAGTGAAATCATTAAATGTTTAAAATTAAGAAGATGGGCGGGGCACAGGTGGCTCACACTTGTAGTACTGGCACTTTGGGAAGCCGAGACAGGCGAATCATTTGAGGCCAGGAGTTGGAGACCGGACTGGCCAGCACGGCAAAACCCTGTCTCAACCATAAAAACAAAAATTAGCTGGATGTGCATGGTGGTGTGCGCGTGTAGTCCAAGCTACTTAGGAGACTGAGGCACGAGAGTCGCTTGAACTGTGGCCCAGCCTGGCTGCAGCAGTTTATGGATTCCAGTTGCTGCCTGCATCCTGGTAAGAGCCACTTCATGTGTTGACAGTGTCAAAATACTAGGGTTGCCCCATTCCTGTAAAACCTATAGTTAGTTGGGTGGGGTGGCACAGGCCAGTATTTGTAGTAACTGTATCTTGCCTGTAACCAATTACAGCAAGGGCTCAAGCAGGAACACATGTAGAGTGATCAATGACTGTGGTGGGTGGATTCATGTGCCCCCAAAATCCATGTTCTCCTGGAATCTCAAAATGTGCCTTTATTAGAAAATAGTTTTGTTGGCCGGGCGCGGTGGCTCAAGCCTGTAATCCCAGCACTTTGGGAGGCCGAGGCGGGTGGATCACGAGGTCAAGAGATCGAGACCATCCTGGTTGACATGGTGAAACCCCGTCTCTACTAAAACTACAAAACATTAGCTGGGCATGGTGGCGCGTGCCTGTAATCCCAGCTATTCAGGAGGCTGAGGCAGGAGAATTGCCTGAACCCAGGTGGTGGAGGTTGCGGTGAGCCGA